TGGTTAATAGTTGACAGGTTGACATCACTTAGCCTTCTATTGATCATAAAAATGTGCGAGATATAGCTAATTGGTTCTATGATATTACCACCCCCGCTCCTGCCACTAATGTTATATTTGATCCCATGGAGAAAGATGCTCTTAGTCCTAATACTTGCGCATACACAACATATGCTTTTATTGACTCTTTCGCAAGTACCTCAGCCGGTCAGCAGTCTCAGGTGGAGTATGACTACATCGCTATGAGAATAGCCCTTGATGACATCTTGATCGAGTTGTGGCATCGGAATGACATTGATACAAAGCGTGATATGATGCTTAGGAGTATATAGAGTCAGGAGGCGGAGATTCTGCTCACCATTGATGAGATTCGAGGCCACTAGCTCGACTATACTAACAGAAATGAACATAATATGGGTGACCTACTTCAGGAAATAGAGGGTTTGCGTCTGACTGTGGCAGATGTGGCTGAGCTTATGCGCTATGTCCCTAATCCTTGAGGAGGTGGCGGTGATCATGGTTGGCATAGAGGCCATGGCCGTTATTGCTGATATCTCTACCAGGTTCTACTTGCCCCTTCTTTCTCCTTGCACTGAAACATTAGGGACAATGTTTGGTTCAAGTGTGGGGGAGGAGCTTTACCAATCTATTTTCATTTTGTTCAATATTTTCTGTTTTCCATTATTTTGTTTTTATTTTTTGAGTCATACGCACATTTGAGTCTTATTATATTCCAATTTCTCTTTTCGTTTGAAAATTCCCTTAGTTTCTACCCTAATTGAAATTTTTTATCTTGCTCTGATTAAATGGCATGACACTCTGATTACTAGGTTATTTTTAGGCTATGTTATTTAGACTTGGGAAAGTTTTGCTAATATTTGAACCGTCCTAACACCCTTGACACCCTAAATATGCAATATCGATTTGAATATTTACTATGCCTAGACCAACTCTCTAAGCTTTTAAAGTAACCTTTTGAGTAAATTATACTAGTAGTCAGCACCATGTAAGTACAAACTACGTAGGAAACCGATGAAAATAAATGAATGATCCTAAAATGAATTAATTGCAAATGCCTGTTGGTTGTTGGTCCATTTGTTTCTGGTATTGGACACGGTAGGGCAAACTACAGTATGATCCCTCACAATGGCATTGGGTTATAAAGGGGTGTGCCACATTTTACTACCAGAACCCCTTGCTAAGTTGATCATAATCACTAATAGGTTTTATACTATGTGCACGCAAGGATAAAGGGCTTAATGTGATTGCTCTAGAATGAAAAGAGATGAAAAAGAACAAAAGATTGGAGGCCGGGTCATAATGATGTGATCAGATTGGTATTGCATATGGGGGAGTCTTTGACCATAAATGTGGATTTGTATCAATACGGTGTCCTTGTTTTCAATTTCAAGTACCTATCCACTTAGCTATAGCTTAGAACTTACCCCGACTTCTTTTATTTTCTTCATGCTTATGTTTTAGACAATGCGCCTATCCTTTTTTCTTTAAATTAGGAGTTTGCTCGAGGACGAGAAAAAGTCTTAGTGTGGGGGAGTTTTATAACGAGAAATCATATCATGTATTTAAGCTCATTGTGCATATTTTTCGTTTGCATTTTATTTTGTTTATTTTAATTTTACCTTATTTTTATTTTTTTGCAATTGCTTCGATCATCAGTCGCGAATTCGAAGCTAAATTGGAGAAAGAGCTAAAAGAGATATAGTACAACAAAGATGAAAATTCATGTCTCTCAGCCTGTTATGGAATTTCCATAGGGAGATGGCATTTGGTTTTATCCCCCTTCCACCTAATTAAAAATTTGAAGCAATGGCGATCGCCATGGCCTTAACGACAATCGACATTTAGTCAAAGACCAGTTTTTCTGTTTTTGAAGAAGCAGTTAACTGGATTTTGGAATTTTGAATCTTCCCTCCGGTTTAACCGCGCCCAATAGCAGTTGAACGGTACTTTCCTCTATATATAAGGCCTCTTAGTTAGTTTCCGCTATCCAAGTCTTGTACGGAAGCTCTTAGGTGCAAACTCATGAATAATTGAATATTTTGGTCCTAGTTTCCATGTAGTTAGTTTATTATTACGACAAGAGAGTGAGGAATAAACCAAGGTTCAATCCAATAGTGTTAGAGTGTGAGGAATGAACCGGATAATGGGAACTAGGCATCGTTCCTAAAAACAGCAAGAGCGCTTTAGGTATCATTTAGAAATTTATCGACTTTCAAAATATGTTTTCTAATTGACGGCTGAGCGAGAGCAATATCCTGTGGTTAGTGAGTGTGGTTCTTGTCAATAGCATGAGAGTGTGATACAGAGTCATTGAGTTGGTATATTTATAAGGAACTGTCTTTTATTTCCTAACCAGCATCTTATTCTACTAGTTCGTTAGGCCTGCGGGATCCATACTATGTACTCGTTTAGTCGTTGTTTTTCGACCTTAAGCAATTTCGTTTACAAATCTCATTTCTTAACATTTCAAATCCCTTTACCCTTAGTTGTACATTGAAACATATATAACATTAGTTTTATTATTATTCTTTGTGGATTCGATAATCTTTTAAAACTACACGATAGACTACGCACTTGCAGTTACACATTTCGACATATATACATAGTCGCAATTAGTACGAATTTAGATAATGTCTTATGTAGAAGTATCTGATATAATACTTCAGACATGTAAAGTAATAGTATTTATTTGTATATGATTGATCATATTTCACTTATGATATAGTTCTTGTTGTTTAATTATTGTTCACAGATGCATCAAGTATAATAGATCGTCAAAATTTGAATAATGGTTTCAACCTCTCACGTTCTCCTTGTAGTATGTCTATTTATTGTTATTCTTGTGTGGTAAATGTGATGTTTATGTGAAATATGTGTATATTATGGTTTTTCATTTCATATTTCATTCATCTGAACACATTATGCTTCAACTTATTATTTCATCAAAGCATTCATCATTCACTCTTGCATTATTCAAGTAATTTTGTCTCATGTAACATTAAAGTTTTATTTTTCATTTGAAAGCATTAAGTTTTTGTATTTCATTAAGTTTGCATCTCATTGATTTTGAATTCCATTAAGTTTTTTCATTTCATTAGTTTTTCATTTCATTAATAATAATATTCATAATACATGTTGGAACAACAATGAAATTATGAAAACTAGCAAGATATGGAGTCACTTGTACCAGAGCATGAGCAACTTTATTAGCTTGTCTCCTAGCGAACTTAACATGAGAGTTCATAAATAGTAAAGTCATCAAACGATTACATTCTCGGGTAAGTGCACCAAAATCTGAATCATTTGGTTTCGACTTGTTCACACTATCTACCACACTTTTAGCATCCAACTCGAAATCCATATTGTTAAGCCCAAAATCATGCACCCAATTGATAGAAGCCAAAAGACCTAAAGCTTCTCCAATATCTACATTAGTATTAGGAGAAAACTATTTTGTACGAGCTGTGATAAAATGACCCTTAACATCTTTGATGCAAGCGTCTATATCTACCTTATTATGAGAAACAGAGGAATTGATGTTGCATTTGAAACGTCCCACCAAGGGTCATATCCACTTAGTGACATGAGATAGGTGATTCGAAATTGTGTTGCCAACGTGTAGATGTTAAGCGTCTCTCTACACAGCCAACAACTGCATATCTCTATTACAGACAATGACCAAATACTCTACAAAATGGTTCCAAATGTGATTATTCCTACATTTTCAGATGCTCCACATAATAGCAGCAAAAACTGTCTATTCATCTTGATTAAAAACCTACAATGAAGAAAAAATAACATAAGCAAAAGCTTCACCAGTCAAAATCAAAAGCTGCAATACAGTCCATAATCTACTTATTTCCTAACATTCAATGCTCTTCAGACATTAAAAAAATAGATGAAAGTGGCTTTCTTAACCATCCCCACAACCAACATAATTAGAAGGAGAATCCACACCTTTGACTAAAATAAGTCTTCTTGTAGGCACACAATTCTTGCAAAGGCACCATAAAAAATTCTTAACCTTTGGAGGAGCTTTAATATTCTATATAAAATTCCATCTCTCATTGATCCTTAGATGAGAAGTATTGATGGCTTTAGTAACACAATACTGATATGAACTATGCACGGAGAAGATACCATGCCTCTCAAGTTTCTAAATTAATTTATCTTCTTGAACAACCTCGAATAAAAGAGTATTGAGAATTTTTTTAGCATCATCCCTCCCTACTATTTTTAGCATCATCCCTCCCTACTAGAGAACAAATCAAGCCTGGATTCCATTGTTTACTATGAGAATTCATCAGATCTGAAACTTTCAGCTCAACCACTCCCAAATTGATTGGCCAAGGATTGACCAAAGAAGTACTATCATAAATCCAATGTTGATTCCAAACTGAAATATTCTCTCATGAACCAATAATCCATATGTGCCCACCTTGCACCACAAATTTGGAGCTCTAAATAATTCGCTACACATAGTTAGGGTTGTGCCCAATAACTGAATCCAAAAAATCGCAATTAGGATAAAAGCTAACCTTATAGAACAAGTTTATGGGGATTGATCATGAGACTTCATGCTTCTTTGCTAAGCATAACATAATTGAAAGCATTAATATTTTTTAAACCCATGCCTCCGTTAGATTTAGGCATAGAAAAATGATCCTATGAAATCCAATGAATTTCTTTTCGATGGTAACTATCAAGACCCCGCAAGAACGAGATCATCATCTTCTCAATCTCGTCGGTAAGTGAGGAGGGGAGAGAAATAGGCTCATAACATAAGTCGGAATAGACTGAAGAACCACTTTGATAAGAGTTTCCCTTCCCGCATGAGATAAGCACCTGCTACTCCGGGAATTGATCTTCCTCCAAATTCTATGTTTAACAAACTTAAAAGTAGCTTTCCTGTTTCCTCCAAACATGGAAGGTACACCAAGATATCACCGTGACACAAACCTTTAACCACCATTATCATCATGAGCTCTAATCAACCATCAATCTTGTCAGTAAATCAAAAAGGGAAGAGAAAATTTTCATCATCAAATCCTCTGCCACAAATTCGAAAGAAGAACACATCAAAAGTTCAAGCTAGCAAGGAAACTTTTGATACTCGTATGTTTGGTACTCAAAGTAGAAATTTAAGTGTTCTAGCTTATAATCAGAGTCAAGATTTTTCTTTTATCTAGAAAAACATTGTCATCTGATACCAGATGGGAAGATTAAGAGGTATGTCAAAGACCTTCTGAATAAACCTATAGAAGATGAGTATTATGGTTATAGCTTTGTTGAGTGTGATTTGAAAGTGAGTATTCTGAAACTATTTCAGCACCATAAGTTGTTGAAATTTATTGGATTAAAAAGGAAGTTTAATCTTGATCATGTTAAGGTTTTCTAATGCAATCATAAAATATCTAGTGATGGTCTTAAAAGCAACTTTCGTGACAAAGTCATTAAGTTCACTCTTATTGATTTAAAGCATCATTTTCGACTAGACTCAGAAGGAAATAAAGTCTGTATTTCAAATTCATATGGCTTTGTTAGAGAAGACTTTGTTAAGTCAATTTCAAAATATGTGTATAAGGATTGTTTGGATTTGGATAAATTTCACATTAGTCAGGTTAGGTTTGAAATGTGAATTCTCCACTAGATTTTTGTGAAATTAGGTTTTGGAATCCTCGTAATTGGGAAAAGTTTGATGATCATGATTTATATTTGATGTCAGTTCATCTTAAGGTTTATCGGTTCAATTAGGTTAAGTTCATTTTGTGCATAATTGAATATTACAAGAGTTCTCTGAAGAGGTTTTTGGTTTTCTCATCTTTTATTTAGTTTATTCTATAACTAAATAATATTTCTTCTATCGATGATGATCTCATTGAAGCACTAAAAACGATTGACTAGACTGTGATTAAGCTGGAGAGGTACTTTCAAGATAAGAAGGGTGTTTATTATTTTCTTGGAAATGTTGGTAGTTATGTTTACAAAAACATGATTGAATTCCCTAAAGAGGTGGCAGTTGGAAGGAAGAAATTACACTACTACAAAAAACACATCTAACATCGGACGCGAAATTCATTTAACCTCGACTACGAAAGCAAGGTAACAAATGTGCATCATGAAAAGATAGCCCTTATCACCTAGGATACTAAAACACCGAGGGGTAAAGTTAATCGCGCCCAATATTAACACTCGGTGTTTTGAAGAACCGAGGTAATAGATAAATGTTCTTACCACAGTTTATTGAGAAAACCAAGGGGTTAAAATTTTTTGTATACTATCGTTTGCACCTGTATTACAGAATACAAAACCATATTTTGCAAAATCCTGAAATAGAGACATTGTACATTTTTCCAATTCCTCAATCTGAAACACAAATATTCATTGATTATACAAAATTTAAACCCAAAATGGCACACACTTTATAATTTTACATCAAAACTAAAACAAATGATTAAGAAACAAAAGTAATAAACTATTTACTTACTAGTTTTCACATATCTCCTCTTCATGATCACGACGAATAACATGTACAACATCTTAGTCATTTTCTTCATATGATTGACACACACACATATTGTTAAACAAGGCATCTCATAGTTAACATCTTGACTTTCATCAGTACTATCGGGAATATGTTTTCCTTGAAGAACAATTTACCATCTTGTGTTAGATGTCTCAAGACATGAAAAAAAAATTTCTTGGTTTTCCATGACGAATGGTTCGTTCTTATAAGTTGCATTTCGAAGATGAACCCTTGTAAATCCTAATTCATCAGTTTCTACACTAGTGTTATTCTCAATCCACCTGCACTTAAATAAATGCACTTCAAAAGAAACATAATCAATCTCCAAAATCTCCTAAATGACCTCAATGTAAACTCTAGATGTTAGTACATGATTGTTATCTTGGGAACTAGAAATTTAACCTCAACTATAACATCACTATTTTGCATGGTGCTACGATCATCCTTTGATTTTGTATAGAACAAATATTTACTAATGTCGTATGCACTCCAAGTAATTACATTAAACTTAGGCATATGTGACAACCATTTGCAATTATCCAATGCACCACTCTCTTTAGAAATACTTTCATAAAACCAATCTTTTAAATTCTTGTTATGCTCTATCAACAACCATTTTTCATTCATATGGGTGAATTTGTCCTTTGTAAGACTTTTGTGAGTGGTCAAGTAAGGATCGACTTCACTAAGGTTATTCAATATATACAAAAATGCTTGAAAAACTACTTCTTGAATAAATTTATTAACATTTAAACCTTGAATACCTCTACCATCATAAAATCCATCATGACGAGACTCGTGAACTCCTATAAAGTTCGCATCTGACAAATAGTTTGAACAAAAATCAATAGCTTCTTCTATGATGTACCTTTCTATGATCGAAGATTTTGGATGGTGATAATTATTTATATACCCTTTAAAAATCTTCATCCATTATAAATAAACTGGACCCCAAATTATAATCTCCCGTACTAGATGAACAACTAAGTGAACTGTGATACGGTGGGAAAGAACTGACTATTTTTTGGAATGCTGTTTTGTGTTTTGCGTTTGTTTTTGCAAAATGTCGCAGTAAGAAAGAGTCGCCACCGAATTTTATTTTATCCAACAAGGAAAGGAAAAAAAAGCACAGAAAAATTCCTTTTTTGAGATATTTTCTCGGGTTCGGGGGGTAGATTATAGAAAGGGAAGGTGTTGGCACCCTTTCTATCCGTGGTTATCCACGGGCTCTTAGGTACTTGCTCATATTGTTTTCAAAATTTGATTTTCTTTGTGTTTGTGGGTTTGAAGAAGAATTTATTTGAAAAGGAGTGTAAGTGTGAAAATTTTGTTTTGTTTTGAAAGAGCATGTATCTAAGAACCATCTACCTACTCGAAAAAAGAATCGTTCTATGCTATCTTCCTTCACACAATGCTGTCCCACTATTGATGAGTAGTTAGCATCGACGTTGGAGTTTTAAGGGTCAATTCGAATTTAGGGACACACGGTTACCAAAGCAATGTTAGGACGCCTTAGCGGTAACCCTAATGTCTTAGATCATTTGTTTTGAGGCAACAATATCCGAGGCAACCATTTCGAGGCGACTATGATCTTTGGACAAGAGGGCGACCTCTAAAACTACCTATACTCAATGACCGCGAACGAAGGCAACCAAGTGGGGTGTACCCTAAGAGTGCTCATGTCCGGGTGTGTTGTTTTTAGTTAATTTTATCTTTGTACATGTTAAGGGTGATCTAAGTTGATTTTAGGTTAAACGTTCATTCTTGTCATGCATTCCTATTATCAAACATCTAACAGTTATATTTTCCGGGAAATAAAATGCGGAATTTTAAATTACAAAGCGTCGGGTATTTACATCGCCAAAAACAACCCTTTGAAATTTAAATGCGAAAAATAAATAAAGCGATAAAAATAGTCCTAATTATCTATTACATTCCGGAAACAAATACAATATTAAATAAATGGATCGCGTGCGGGAAAATTAAATCGAGCGCAAATAGGGTTTTGACCCTTTGTTACTTAAAGAAAAGATTTTGTTTTTGGTATTTTTGAATTTTAAGAAACAAACTATCCTAAATTAATTATTGAATTAAATTAATTAAATCAATTAATAAAAATAAATATTTTTGGATTTTTTGTTATTTAAAGAAAAAAAATAAAAATTAATTAATGTTAGTAAAAATCTAATTAAGTCTAATTGATTTTAATTACTGAAAAATATATTACAGTTATTCCTAATTAATGGCCTAAATTAATTAAATTAATATTTGTTAACAAAAACTAAAATACTGAAATTTAATTTAATAAAGAAAATATTTTTTGGTTTAAATTTTATTAAAGGAAAAAAATTGATTGGTTAGAAAATAATGAAAATAATTAAATTAAATAAAACAAGAATAAAATAAAATATAGAGAAGAGAGGGTTTGGGCCTGTTTTGGGGATTTGATCAGCAATTTTGTGGCCCAAACGAGCTGGCGCTGTATTGACTTTCTGGATTCCCTATGCACCTTTTGACTTGGTCCCATGGTAGACTCTCATCCTGGATCACCAGATTTGGCCTTGGGCCATCTGGCTGCTGGACATGTGAAGGCATATGGTGAGTTGCACTCTTAGATTTGCACCTGATTACATGAAGAGAAAAAATAACAAAGCGCATGGGGGACCTGGGATTCGAACCCAGATCCTGTGGGTCATTGGCAAGCTCGCTTACCACTTGGCTATTGTGTTTCAATTGTTAATAGAATACAAACAAAACATAATATGCTAAAACACGTTAATATGCCAGAAAAATAAAAATTGCACGAAAATTTGAAAAGGGCCAATCAGAGGAGGAGACGGTTTCGTCCCTGTCCTCAGGCCTGAAACAAAATTACATGCGGATTTGAATCCACAGCTAAAAGCGTAGGCCATTCCTAAAACTCATCTCAGGCCATATAAATTCCTCCCAAGACCATGGTTGCATTCGTCTTCCTCTCCCGGTCACGTCCATAATCATCATTAAGGCTAATTTTACCTGTAACAAAAATGCCCAAAAAAGCTCCAAGAACCCTAGCTATGGTGATTCTTGGTACAAGTCATATAAATGAAATTCAATAATACAAAAAGTTTGCAAATGTCTTGGTGATCATAAACATGTAATTATTTTGTCCAAAAGATGCCAGAATAAGGATTTACGAATTCAAGAAAGAAACGGATCTGCGTGGTACTTACAGTGCATTTGAGCGTATATGGAGGCTTTCTAGGGATTGGTTCTGACTCAGTGAACCTCCAGCAATCGATTGGTGTCAAGCTTTGCTTCTGAAAATGCCTCAAAGTATGATTTTGGTTTCACACTTTTTACCACTTTTTTCAAGTTTTGTTTGGTTGGTTCTTGCAGCCTCTAGCCTTGTTTTCGTGCCCTCTAGCTTCCTTATGTATGATAGAATGCATTAGGTTAACAAATATGTATTAAATCCTTCCACATCAATGCCATGAGATTTGATTTGATTCACCATTACTAAACCTTCCAAAATTGCCAAAACTTAATCTTTTTGCACATGGATTGTTTGATATGAGTTTGATACCCTTAATGATGATGATTCAGTCCTGAAATAGCCAAAAAGATATCAAGTGATCAATATTTGGATTTTATTTGATTTTATTTGATTTAAAATGAAATAATTCAATAAAAAATCAAATAAAATAATAAAATTGATAAATGGACACAAGGCTGAAGCTAGGACACGTGTGCAATGTGGTAAGTTCAAATCAAGTGGAAAAGAATGGGCCCATTTGACAAAATTTATAGTTTTGGGGATAGTTGACTTTTAGTAATTTTGCAAAAATGCCCAACTTCAACAATGCATAACTTCTTCAATTTTGAACTTTTTT